ACACACTACGTAATTTACAATAACGCATTTTGTTTTGATTGATTAAAGCCTGGCATGATGTGGGAAATTATTGCCCTGATGTGAGGGTGCACTTCCCATAGCATTATGAGGCCGAGCAATACGAGGTATATGATAATCTGATGTACAATAATAGTATGGCAGGTATTTTTTTTTTTTCATTTCATATATTTTATTTTAACTACATTTTTTTATTTTTTGGTAATTTGTAAATAAATAATAAAACAAAATATATGAAAAAATAAATTTAAAAAAAAATAGGATCTTGTTTTCAACAAATTGGGACATAGATGCAATCTCTGATTTTGAAATCCTCATAGTCATTACTGAAGCCAATTTGTGAAATTTGGCTATTGAGAAATACACATGCATACATGACAAATCTAACGAAAACTTACAAAACTAAGGATAGTTCAACCTTAATAGTTCAAATAATCACAGATACCAATATATGTCAAGTTCACTATGCTACTGTAGTATTATTTTTTTCATTTAGCTGATTGATACGAGTGGAGTCATGGAATCTGAAGGCGAAGATTAAGCATCATGGGAGGATTTGTTAATAATCGCTTTGATAAAGCGGTACAGTCACACCATCTGCCGTTCATATACTGTTCAAACACGCATAAAGTGATGACATGTACCACGAATATCACAACATTCCAAACGTTGAAGTGACGTTCACCAGTAATGACTTATGAATAATAAATATCAGTCTGGCCCTTACATTGCTATATTCTTTAAACCATCAGTGGTTTAATTATTAGGGCGAGTTCTCTCCCTTTATCAATCATTGCAACACATATTTTAAGTTTTCATAAAATATAAAAAACGATAAAGCATAATGAATAAAAGTGGTATTTGTCATAAACATTTCTCTGGTTGCTAAGCAACTCACACCCTCACTTTGAACAACAAAGATGCTGTTTATGTTAACATACCCCCCCCCAAAAAAAACGAAAGTAATAAAGATGATAGAGGGCAGTGTAACTACAAGTTGCATTGTATAACCCGTATACAGTATGTTCTACACATGTATTCTGATGTATATGATCAAGCAATATTTAAAATAAAACATTTTTCCATAAAAACTCAAGTTAAAATAAAATAGTATCATTAAAGTTAATTTGTCAATTTATATTGAATTTTTTGTTTCGTTCAACATAAATAGAGGTTACACATAAATAACACAAGCAAAACATTTGTCAATACCAAAAATGGCAGTCACTGCGGCCCTGCAGGAGTGAAAATCCACCAGGATAAAAAAATATGCTTACTGACACACAATCTATAACAAATACAATACGACATGACGTTTTAATTATTCTCTTGAACACTTAGATATTTGTAGTCTGACAAGGTCGCTCCAAACCCAACACACGTCTGACAAAACGATGTAGTTTTTCACCTTCATGCAGATTTGTTGTCGGTGCCAATCAAATTGCAGGAACGTCAGATCGTGACGGCTATCAAAGAGTAACCACTCACGGCAGAGTTTATTTCTACCCAATGTTTATCATCTTGTTGAAATCAGTCGGTGATTTTTACCGACAATGCAAACACGGCTTTGATGACAGTGTTACCCTGACCACAAAAATGAATATTCATTGAAACTCTTTGCAAGAAAGCATGAACTTTGCGAATTCACAGCATTGACCTTGCCGACGAGACATACACTATTCTGTCAGACATTAGTGAGGTCTGATGCCGTTCAACCGGTGACTGCGCCACTCACGCCTACATGCCACGCTAAGATATTTGCAACTCATAATCAAGTGTACAGTTATCAATTCATCAGTAAGACTTTTAACGAAACTTAGCGTTATGTAGTCTTCGCACATTTAGAAACAAACATCAATTCTCTATTGATGACAAAAATAATTAAAATATTCTTTTACAGCAGTGTAAACAAAATCAGTGATACAAAAATAAACTCACCAATGAATGAATGAAAAGAAGATAAATAGCGCAACAAATACAATGCATTACAATAAGAAAAGATGATGTAAGATGGAAAACCCTGCGGAGAATAAAATACATTCATCAACCAAATCGACAAACATTGGCCACTCCAAATGTTGCACCTACCGTAGTAATCAAAAGACCAACAGTTTATGCAACAGTAATCCACACACAGTTACACATCCAGAATGACTAGTTTACAAAACATGATTTGTTTCGACTTCTTCAATGATGTTGAAGGTATCTAAGTAAATCAGAAAACTGTACAACGCATAGGAAAGATTTGGAGGTAATTCTTGATCTTTTCACAAGAATTTACATCGTCTTCCTGCCCTGCGTTTAGGCACTGGCACCAAGACTACCCTGGCTGCTTCTTCAAATATCTGCAATGAAATGAACAGATTTCGGTTACGTACAAGGAAACAGTAGAATCTCAGGTGTTCTATGAACCCACTTTGGTTTCCGCTAACCCTTCGCCAGTCGCTGATGACAAATTTGTTTTATGTCACTTTGCCACCAATGGCTAAAAACACATTGTTTTGTGAAATTGTCTAAGATATAGTTGTGTACATCAATGCTTCTGAAAAATGCTTCTGTTTGTAAAATAACTAAAACAAGTGATTAATTCTCATCCCAAGACTGTAATTTGCTTTTCATTTGTTTCCCATCATTAGACTGTCTGTTCTGCGTCAGCATTAAACTCAGCATTAAACTTGTGACTTTCAAATTTCTGGGGATCAAAAAATATCATGCATATTCATGCACTTATAACACGTTCGTATAGTATGCTATATTTATTAATTTTCGTTTACTATTATCAGTACAGTATATCTTTTCTCCACTTCTAATAACATGTACGTTTAGAGAGTATATTTTAATAGGGTATATACTTTTTTACATTTCGCCAGTGCTTGTAATCAAGAGTTATTACCGGTAGTATTAGAAATAAATATACAGCGTTTGTCATACAAACATGCAAATCCATTTTGCTGGTTTCCTGCGTCCCTATTGAATGGAAAGTAGGACACAGGTAACTATATGCATGTATAGTAATCGCCATTTTGTCCCACTGGGCCGGGATTCTGGCCCTAAGGCATGTATGTGACGTAATTTGAAAACATTCCGAAGTTTCGTTCTATGTAAACATGTCTGCCCGTCCATTCATTCTGCCCGCTTAGACTTTATACTTGAGGTAGTTTTAACATTTCTCGCTATTTTGGTGCAAAGTGATAACAAAAATAACAGTTTTATATTCGTGAATGTTTTGAGAGGGTGGAAAATCCCTGCTCTATATATGGAATGACTACGAGGATAACCAAGGGAAATAGAACGAGCAACGAGAACATGATGGACCAATCAGAATGCCTGATCCATTATTAGTTACTGGCCTCTTGTGGCTTGGTGCGCCATGACACTTGAGGCGGGAACCAGCCAAGCATGGCAATGAAATTTGCTGGACTCAACTATTATACCATTAGCAGAAATCTCTGCAACCCACAAATACAGTGAAATATATCTAAGACTCTACAAATACATTGTACAATCAAGAACAAACTCTCATGCATGTATGCACAATGATAGAAACATTTAATAATTCTAACCTGTTTTAATCCCTTTTGCGTCAGAGCGGAACACTCCATATACTTTGCGGCACTTATTTTAGATGCTAGTTTCTCCCCAGTTTCTTTCTTTAATGGTGCCTTCCCAACCTCCGCCAACTTACGTATAACCTCTTTATCTTCTCTCAGGTCAACTTTTGTTCCTGTGTAAGAAATGTTGTTAATGTATGCTTTACTTGCACGATCTAAGTAACATGATGGACTCGATAAGACTTAGACACAAAATGGCCACCAGCAATTGAGACGAGTATGTCTAAGATGCACGGTTTTTATTGTCAATACTTTTTCAAAACTGTTAGATCACTTATTTTCTAAAATGCTCTTTATCGCTTTTTCACTTTCTTGCCCCAAACCTTGGCTGATGATTTCAACTAAAAGCAAATGTAACAAAAGATGACTTACCTACTAGGATGTACGGCACATCAGGACAATGATGAGTTAGTT